TCATATTTTCTTATCATTACGTCGGTAAGATCAGAAAATATTACGTATATTTCATTACTCAGTAATTTGTATCCAAATGTAATTTCCAAAACACACGATTTACCAAAAAAAAAAAACAAACCGAGCAAAACTCGGTCCTCCGGGTACTGTTTCTTTAAATTAAGAAGAACGTATTTTTTTAAAGAAAAGGCCATCAGAGTTATGTTATGTCTGCCTCCCTTATTTACATTTACCTAAAGTATGTAGGTGCCATTTTATTCAATAACTTTCTGCCATCTTGTAGATAGGGACATGATCTATGAGGGAATTTGTGCTACTCTCACAGACACTGCACTAGGTCCATAAATGTCACAAATACCATATACCAAAACCAGCCAGATACAAATGGTATATCCAAAGAGATTATATTATAAGTACATACATACTATTTGCGAAAAGAGTACCCCAGCCTAATAATAACAATAGTATTATATAATATACATATGTATAAAACTAGTTGAACTTTTTTTTTGCACAGTATCTCGATCGGTCACCGAATAATAATGTAACGATATAACGACCTATAATCTAATACATAAAATTCACGTGTCACGGTGTTTGTAATTGAACTCCTCCGAAACGGCTCGACCGATTTTCGTGAAATTTTTGTGCATATCGGCCAGTGTGGTCAAATGTCCCCACCGACCGGGTTCCCGCCTTGACGTGGCGGAGAGGCTTAGTAGCCGTGGCTTGGTCACCCACGGCGAAGCTAAGAGGAACGAACCCACACTGGGCCGGCGTGTGGTGTAAGGCCGGCCCGAGAGGGCCGCTCTGGGTGGGCTCATTGAGCCCACTCTAGATGCGTGCTGAAGGGTGCAGGGGACAGGTCGAGGGTGGTAGAGGTGGAGCCACTCTCCCTGTCTTCTGCTACCGAGGAGGAGTCGCGGGGGAAGAGGAGTGTCGGTATTGCGTTGGCCGCGCTCTTATCCTCCGCGACTCGATGGGGCTGCACCGCTGATGCAGTGGTGGTGGGGCCGCGGAGGGAGAGGAGTGTCGGTATTGCGATGCGCTGTTCTCACTTTCCTCCGCGGCCGAAACGTGGTGAGCGACGGAGCTAAAGACCAGGTCCACCGCTGGAGGCTGGGAGGCTTGCAGCTTATTAGCACTAGCTCTCCTGGCTCCCATTGCCCCGGTCAGCGAACTCGGTAGAGTTCGTTGGCCTTGCAAAGGCGCGCTGAATGCTCCAGCGCGCCTTACCCGGAGAATAGGGGAATTGCTCCCCGCGAGGGGGCTGCTGAGGCGGCCAGTGCTGGCAGGGCCGCGAAAGCGTTCCCGTGACCCTGCCGATATGCGCCTAAGTGGAACATGGTGGGGGTTTTGGTCGGTGCGAGTCCGACATAACCCACTCTTGCCCCCGCGAGGGCGGGTATGCGTATGCATTTCCCCCACATAAACAAAAAAAGGGTTGTTAAATGTCCCGCTGAGTTTCCTCTCAACTCAGTGGCTTTCCTTTTTTGACTTTCAATAAGAAAGTGTAATGCTTCTATTTTGAATAAAGATATTTGACTTTGACTTTGGCGGAGAATTGGACAACATCCATTTTTCATCCCCTTAAATGTTACGAGTGGTCCACCGCAAACATTTTTTTCTACCCTACAAATAATTTATATGGTATAACAACGTTTGCCGGATCAGCTAGTATAATATAATAATGTGTATGTATATGTAAGTATTTATCAATGAACGGTGTCCCATTTTGAAGAGTAATATTTCTAAATTTAATTCGGTATTAAATTAATTCGGTAAGTAAATATTTCATTTAAATAAATTGTCAAGAGTTGGCATTTGCTAATACAAAATGCTTAAACGATATTTTTTAATGAAATCATTTACTTTTTTCTAGCGGTAAACATAAGCTTTAAAATAGTATTCAAATCATTAAGTTTGAATGAAGAATTATGGAAGTTTCGGCGCACCGACAAAGAACACCTTTGAGAAATATTATATTTTATTTCTGCGCTGCGTAGTTATAATAAACAAGAATACTTCTAATAATATTTTTGGAAACAACAAATATATTTTTGTGTATTCTTCACTAGTATCTTATCACTACATGTATAAAACAAAGTCATCCCGCTGTCTGTCTGTCTATGTAGGCTTAGATCTTTAAAACTACGCAACGGATCTTGATGCGGTTTTTTTACTAGATAGAGTGTTTCAACAGGAAGGTTTATATATAGGTGTAATACATTGCACCCGTACGAAGACGGAGCGGGTCGCTAGTGAAGTATAATATAAACCATCAACATCATCCTCCTCCTGCCCTTATCTCAACTAGGTGGGGTAGGTTAGATACAGCATGTGATTCATCGTTTCGGCTAGGGTTTTTTTACGATAGGTCGCCTGCCCGACGTCAAACCTCCTTCGGGACAAATACACAGATCCGAGAGAGAGACAATTATCTGTGGGTCACATCACTTGTCCCGTGTGGGAATCGAACCCCGGCGTCGTAGCCATTAGCTTTAGACACCACTATCACTACATAGTATAAAGCAAAGTCGTCCCGCTGTCTGTTCCTATGTATGCTTAGACCTTTAAAACTACGGAACGGACCTTGATGCGTTTTTTTACTAGATATAGTGATTCAAGAGGAAGGTTTGTATGTATAATAGATTGCACCCGTGCGAAGCCGGGCCGGGTCGCTAGTAAACATTAAAGGTTATTTTGATAAATACCATATTTACGAAAGAACGTCGGCACCTCTACCTACCACCCATAAGTGGGACGTGTATTTGTTATTGCTCTTGCGAAATAACGGAGCGTTAATTCTCCCAAGCACAACGCAGACCCCTTCAGCCCGTGACGTATGAATAATGTTTGTTGGCTAACTGATAAAATATGAACAGCTCTTTGTACAAATAAACTGACCGGCTTTAAATCAACGACTGCTCGCTTGCAGAATAGCTGATAAAGGAAACACTAGTGTACGACAGTTAAAAAACCGGCCAAGTGAGTCGGAATCGTGCGCGTAGGGTGTATGGGAGCCCCACTTAAATATTTTTTATTTGTTTTTTTTTCAAAGCCGAAGTATCTTTATTCAATAAAGGTTTAACTTAAGTTTTTATTGAATGTCAACACCAAGTATTTGTTTTAACTTGGCAACAGTTTTTATTGAAAATGTCAACCGTCTAACTATCACGGTTCGTGAGATACAGCCTGGTGACAAACCGACAGACAGACAGAGGAGGCTTAGTAATATGAGTAGGGTGCTGTCTTGTTAGTTTAACCTTTGGGTAGTGCGCGAACAAAACTGAAATTCATCTTTGATTGAAGAATGAAATGTCAACCGTTAATTTTCTTTATCATTACGAATAAGTTCGTTTCATCTTAAGTCTACAACTTAAGAGCAGTAACTTATTGATTACCGTCACTTATAGACATCCACAATAACCATCAGACACGAACAGACATCTGACCGTTAGGAGGGCTTGTAGATATTCTTCCAAGGGTGATACCAGTCGATTGTTAAAAGTCAAAGTTAAAATGTCTGAATGCATTACAGGCTTATTTTAAACTATTATTGAACGAAAACTACCATTAGGTAACTAAATCAGACCTGTCCAGGATGAAATGAAAAAATTCTGCGGTCTTCTGAATTTGTTAGGTTAGGTTAACTATGGTAGGCCACGCAACAGCCTTCGCTGTTGCACGAACGGGCAGGTCCGTCCAGATAAGTACCACGACCTCACATAAGACCGGCTTGAAGTGGATGCGTATACCTCTGCGTTTCGTCTGGTGAGTGAGGTAGTCGGGGCCGACTTTATTTTAAGGTGGCAAGGCAACTGTAACCCTACGGGTGTGCAAATGTTAATGGGCGGTGGTTATCGCTTATCATCAGGAGAACCATCAGCTCGTTTGCCACCTTTTACATAAAAAAGTATAAAATCTGCAGTAGTTGGGACTTGCAAGACGATGCAAGAGTCATTTCCACACTTCCTTGTCAAATTAAAACTAAAAAGCATAATGGAGACCCACGTGAGCCAACACGCTGTTTTCGATCGGAAAAAAAATTGAGGTATAGCAAAAAAGACAGTATCAGTACAGAAATAAACTACGGTTATATAATAAACTATGATTATATTTCTAGGTACTTACATCATATAAATATAAAGGTCCAACGCAGATTGTAAGATTATAAGTGATTCGAGGTCAATTAATATTAATCAAGGCACACGATAGAACAAAACATGTTTGTATAATAATGTTTTTTTACAGAATACTGTTTTAAGTTTTACTCCGATGCATAGTCCAAGTTATGCTGCAAAAATCGTTCGAATCGAACACATGGCGAGGGACCATATATATACTATGATTCGAGATGGTCTCGTAATGGTCATAGATGTCAACTATGTATATTATTGGAAAGATTCGATACAATATCTTAAAAAATATTTAATCTGTAGAAAAATTAAAATCATAGATTATTTATAAGTATTTAAAAGAAATACTGTAAATAAATAATATAGTACAAGTACATTCAGCAATAAGTTGATTTGTATAAGAAACAGATATTCAAAATTGTACTTTAGTTTTCCCCTCGTTTTGAGCAAAAACATGAAATAAAAACATAGACAATAAATTTAAGCAGGCGCTTCAACATTATATGTCGTTTCATTATTTATCATAATTGTTTCTTTTCTCTGAACGAATGTTATTAAATATGTAATAGAAAGTCATAATACAACGTACATTTCAAATAAAATATTATTGAAAGTTGCACTAACAAGCTGTCTACGTAGGATTTAGATGTTGGCCTAATTAATCTGCAAGCTAACTTATGAGTGAGTTTTGAAAGATTTGAATTTTTAAGCTATAACCAGTTTAAAAATAAATCTCTAATCCAAAGCATTTAGTAGAACGAAATGCTGTAACAAAAGATCCGTCTTACTTTATTAGTTTGGTTAATTATTCTGGACTTGTAAATGTGTTGAGATATTCTACGATTTTATTAGTCTACTTACCCTCTGCAACGTCCCCTCGTGCCGTCACGGGAATCTGTTACCGTCATACTCTGGATGGTCATTTTGCACCTTTTCTCGTTCTGTAAAAGAATAAAAAAAATTAATACATCACTACATAGTATAAAACAAAGTCATCTCGCTGTCTGTCTGTCCATATGTATGCTTAGATCTTTAAAATTACGCAACGAATCTTGATGCGTTTTTTTTTAGTAGATAGAGTGATTCAAGACGAAGGTTTATAAATAAGGTATTACACATTATACCCGTGCAAAGCCGGGGTGGTTGGCTAGTAATTAATATAATTATGTAAAAAAAAAAAAACAACTGTCTGCATTTCGGTTATTTACGTTACGATTTTATTATAATTAATGATAGAGCAAGTCTATCAAAATGCTAGAGAATGTCGAACTTCACTAAAGGCACGGCGATTCACCACGGCGCTCTTCGGAGTTTAAGTCTATCTAAAGGTAAGGTATCCCCCTGCATGTCGTGACCTATGGTGGGAAAGAACCAAACACAATAAAAGGCCTCTCGCCACGCACCAGTCTCTCATGTCATACAAAAACATATTTCATGAGCAATACAATAGTTTAACACATAGACATCATACACTCAAAATAATATGTAAAAGTAAATAAAAGCAAACTACTGCTATAGTTTTGAAACTTTAGTTTTTCCTGCTTTTCTGGTTACTCAGGTCACAGTATGATTATCCTCAGTTCTTAGACAACCCAAAATCATTTTTCGCTTTTCATACCTTTGAATTGCGTAACTTCCACATAACACTCTTCCATTTTTAAAAGTTTAATACTTTTTTTTAACACTTAAGTATTCAATAATATAATATTTAAAAGTCATAAAAAAACAAGGAATAATTACAAAATCACTCGAAGGGCGTTGAGAGCGCTGCCCACGTTGTCTTATTGTATGCATATTATCTTTTAATTATTCAGCAACGTATAATTGCAAAAAATCTTTAGGAGGTGGTGTACGAATGTGAACATTTATTTCAGATTTAGCCTACTATTTATATAACACAAGTACATAAATACTCGAAGAAATTTTCAGCGGTCAGTGATTAGGAGGTTTTTAATTTAGTACCAACTATAGCGCTTAATATGGTTTAGATATGGTATGTTAATAAGTGTTGTGCGTACTGTAAGGCGAATGTTAGGATTGTTATTTTTTGTTTAGTCCACGCTCGGCTCCCATTCGAATTACAAGTCAAATAATTTAGCTTTATAAATAAAGTTTTTTTAGCGAAAGATGAAGTTGTAGAGTTAAAAGAAAAATTAAAATTCATCAATTATAAATTAAGCTACAAATTTTGCATGTTGTGAAGGATAGTTATTTAAGAAATTTGGGCAATGCACATAATGTTATGTGATTGCCAAAAAAGACATCCATTACCATGGGTAAGCAGTTGCCAACCTTCAAGAGAATGCCGGTTGCCCTATTGTATGCAGCCATCCTATAAATTCTTCCCTCAAGGCTATCTTCAATCAGGTCAGAAGACAGCAAGTTCTATTAAGCTGATCATGATGGTAGAATCATATTATCTCATGCAGCATTGGCATAGCTTCGTACATAAAATTTGCAAAATAATTCTGGAGCACCGAACTTGAAAACGCCGGTACACGGTCGGTTGTGGTAACATTTTTGAAATTGTTACATTATCCCATTGGTACAAGTGAGTGTCAAAGAATGTTTCGGTGGAAAAGGCCGTGTAAGTCTTAACTTACTAAGTCGTTTTCTCAAACTATTTATTTTTATTTTTTTATTTTTTTTTATTTTATGCGAAAAGTTGTCAAACGAGCAGACGGTTCACCTGATGTTAAGCGAATACCACCGCCCATGGACATCTGCCACACCCGAGGGCTACAGATGCGTTGACAACCTTTTGAAAATTGGGCTCCGGCAAAACTAACGTAAGGCAATATTTTTCATAAAAGACTAACAATGAATCTCCGACCTAGAGTTTAAACGGACATTTTGTTAAGGCGCTTTTTTTGTTTTTGGTAAGAAATGTCCATTTGGGATGAATACATTGTATTAGTAAGAATGTTGTATAATATTTTGTCCATTTCAAAGTGGAGTCACCTGGGAACTGCCGCGCCTTGATGATGAGGGTATTTGCTTACTGCTAAGTGTGGGTCTTCGGTATTTGTACTCCCTGCACGAAAGGCGAAAGTAATCTGGTCTTTTCTGAAGTTGTGGTACTTCCCCGGTCGATTTGGTCTATTAATGATGTCGAAACGGATCTAATTATTGTTCTTTCCCTACCACAGTAGTAAGGATATATAAAGTGCTGATTGAACTTAAACCCAACAGCTATAATAATGATAAAAACCTTATTTTATATTTATCATAACAATATACAAATGGTTTACTTTTCTCATATATCTTATCCTCTAAACTAGCAATTCTTGTATCTTATCTTTCTTATCCTTTAAACGAGCAATTCTTGTATATATATATATATATAATCGGAATCTCTGAAACGGCTCCAGCGATTTTCATGATATTTGGTATGTGCGTAGATTCGGTTGCGAAAAACCGATCTAGTTAGGTTTCATTTTTAGAAAATGTCCTTTTATCCCTGTTTTCAGGGAATGAAAAATATCATTCGAATATGACGGTAAATTTCGCCGCATAAAAAAACGTTATAATAGCTCGGTCGGTAATCGAGCGTCCCCAAAACAGACGCCCGTGGCTCGTATCAAGATCATTCTCACACTCTTTTTTTTTTACTTTTTTTTCGAATCCAGATGATTTTGTTGTTTTTTTCCTTTTTTTTTAAAGTTCTTTCTTTTGTGAAAAACACCACTTCATATTTTCTTATTATTAGGTCGGTAAGATCGAAAAAAATTATGCATATTTCATTACTCAGTAATTTGTATGATCGTACATGTAATTTCCAAAATACACGATTTACAACAAAAAAAAAAAAAAAACCAACCTCCAGGTCCTGTTTATTTTTAAACTGAGACGGTAACAGATGTTTCAAAATTTATATCCCTTTGTTTGCTTTCGGACGAACCGTTTTTAATACGGCTTCTATTGACTTCATCAATCATTTATATCGGCTCAGCAACAAGAAATTTTGGCAGAAGCCTATAATGTGGTGGAGATTATTATATTTATAGAAATAATATGAAATTTCTATATTATCACTTAATATATTTAGTTTAATCATACGATGAGAAATTCAATATATCTTAAAAATAGTAAAGTAAAGACCTTCTCTGTACAGAGGGCATTAAGCCATAGTCCACCACGCGACCCCACTGCGGATTGGCAGACTTCACATATATCTTCGAAATATGTAGGTTTATATTATGTATATTTAGATTTATTATCATTTCCAAAATAGGTCGTAGGTTTCCTCACGATGTTTTTCCTGACCGTAGAGAACTTGATGAGTCAGCACTTAAAATTCCAATGAACAATTTCATTGGTGCCGGCACCAACGTTCGAGCCCAAATTGAGGTTTTATATGGTAAAAGTAAAATGAGAAAAGTATATGAAATGATATATTTAACCATTTTTATCTTTACACTTTCGCCATTTAATAGGTAGTATAAATTAAGAACATCCATTAATTCTACTCCTGAAAAGAACGTGGAAGTGAGAATCAATAAAGTCTTTGAAGGCAGTTCAGTAGTTATGGACTATAAAGAGAAGTAGTTAGGGTTATTATTGACTTTGATATTTACTTTGATATTGGCTGTCTGTGACTTTGATAATATTTGCATACTATTTGTATTGGATGAACTTGGATTCAAAAAGCTATACAACATTATAGTTCATATACCAGTTCAAATAAAGATTAATATTGAAATTTCGGACTGCCCCATCGGAATTGATTTTTTTTCCTGGTAAGAAATTGTCCAAAGTAATCCGTTGGAGCAAGGCCAGGGGGTTTGATGGGTGTCGAGGACATTCCAATCGTGGCTCCTCTAATTTAGCGACCATATATCGTGAAGTGTGAGGTCCACTCCAGTAACTTTTTCTGAGTCAACTTTCGCTTGGGACACGATTTATCAGATTTTCATGGTTTCAACCACTGTGATGTGCACTGACAGTCGTACAGGATCTATTTTTCTTAACAAGTAACAATACAATTTAAAACAGAACAAAAATATTGGAACCAAAATCCATGTTTCCCTTTACAGTAGCTTCCCTATACATATTATTAATCTTTTATTAAATAACGCGATATTTTAAGTTAACCATATTGTGAACAGGAAAATGAAGTGGCATGGAAACAAATGAATCGCTAAATTCGAAACACAATGCACAAGCCAAAATTTGAAATAAATTTGAATTTGGAATTCCTAGCCAAATACCATATATTTGAGATCAAAGTGGCCAGTTCAATAAAAGGCAAATTTCATAAGTAATAACCTAATATAGGTAAAACCATAAATTCCAATCGTCTCTCACTCACTACGCGGCATTGAGAAGTGTCGGCAGGAATCTATCTGCATGAGTTATTTGTCAATAATTACTGAAGTATAGTCTGTTTATACAAAAACCATGATTGATGATTTCGATTGCCACAACCAATGCAGGTGTTCAAGAAAACAGTGTGATCGAGGTAACCACCAAAAGGTTGTAAACATGAATTTTTGCCAAAAGGTTACTTTTATGCTGTAGAGAAACAGCAAAAAAACAATATTTTGAACGTTCAATCAAGAGTTTTGTATTTATTTCAAAAATTTACAAGGGGGCAGGTGGTCCACTCTTTAGGAGTTGTATATGCCCATGTGCGGCGGTCTTCGCTTAACAACAGGTGAAAGTCCAGACATATTCTTATTTGAAAAATAAATTCTGTATCGGAATGCAAGCGAAAGAACTCGGTGGCATAATCTAACTACTTTAGCGACTTTAACGATTAAAAAACGCAAATATTTACCAATCGCGGTCGGAGCGTTGGGTTTACAAAAGGACCAAATAGGTACACATTTAGCGAAAATATACGCTACTTTCACACATATCCCGCGTATTTACATTGGCTAAAGAAGAGAGAGAATTTTGATGTATTATGGAGCTCCATAATACATCAAAATTCTACCTCCAGTAACCAAATCTACAAAGTTTGGCATTGCGAATTAGCAGCCAATTATTTGGCACGTATTTACTTAAATTCCGCTGAGCAATATCGTCAAAAGACTAAAAATATTCTTATTCCGAATAGTTTGCTAATTTGCTAATTTTCTAATATTCATGACGTTGATATTCTGCTTACCTATTACAGGAATGTTAGCATTGCGTTTGTATAAACAGTGAACTGAACGTAAAAACCCATTCGTTAGTTATTCTTGTAGATCGTTCTTAGAATAAGACCGACGTGAATGTTTTTTATTTTGGAAAACTCATGTTCACAGACACTTGTTCATTATGTTGAAATATCATTACAGCGATTTTATTGAAATAGGAAATTGCACTAATTTAAATATTATGTTGAATATTGTGTTACTAAATGAATATATCCTAAACATAAACATTATTTTCGTAGTAATTGAGGCTTATAATGAAATAACCTACAATAATAGCTTTTTCTTATCATTCTATGATTTTGAATAATTCAATTGTGACAATTGTAATTTGAAACACTTAATATGTTCTTATTTTTATCAATAAAGGAAAAAGAAACTCTTATATGAAACGCAAAGAAAATTTATAATCAATTCGTGAAATAAATGTAATTACTTAGGAAACATTTAATGTTATTAATAGAGGAAAACTCTTACTACTTACTTTTACTACTCTTACTACTACTACTACTACTAATACTAATGAAACACAATGATTTAAAGGCATTAAATTATTGTGAAGAATGCAAATGTAATTTCAAAACACAGGTACTTACGTTTCAACTTTTGAGTCAATTAATACATACAAGCACACGTGACTATATTCTTTTACTG